TTGGAGTAGTACCTCCTCCGTATTTGATTTCATCTGTAAAAGCTGTTAAATTGATTAGAAAGGGGTGTAAGGGATATCTGTGTTCTGTATTGACTGTATCTACTGATGATAATGCTAACGTGAACAGTATTCCTATAGTCAAAGAATTCCCAGATGTTTTCCCAAATAATCTGCCAGGGGATTTGGCTGACAGAGAGATTGAATTTACCGTTGATGTGATTCCGGGAACGCAGCCAGTATCTAAAGCTCCTTACCGAATGGCTCCAACTGAACTGAAAGAATTGAAAGTGCAACTGCAAGAACTGCTAGATAAGAAGTTCATCGGGCCTAGCACTTCGCCATGGGGCGCTCCTGTTTTGTTTGTGAAGAAGAAAGACGGCTCACTGAGACTGTGCATTGACTACCGTGAACTGAACAAGGTAACTGTGAAAAATAAATACCCATTGCCACGTATTGATGACTTATTTGATCAATTCCAGGGTGCTCAAGTGTTCTCTAAAATTGACCTCAGATCAGGATACCATCAGTTGAAAGTTAAATCAGAAGACATCGACAAAACTGTTTTTCGAACGAGGTATGGACATTACGAATTTTTAATCATGCCTTTCGGAGTTACCAATGCACCTGCTGCATTTATGGACCTCATGAACAGAAACTTTATGCTAAACTGTCTAAATACGAACTTTGGCTTGATCATGTTATGTTTTTGGGGCATGTTGTTAGCAAAGATAGAATTTCCGTTGATCTACAGAAAATTGAAGCTGTAGTAGACTGGCCTAGACCAACAAATGTGACAGAAGTCCGAAGCTTTTTGGGACTAGCCGGATATTACAGAAGATTTGTCAAAAATTTCTCCAAAATTGCCTTACCATTGACTCAGTTAACTCAGAAGGGGATATCGTTTGACTGGACTGACCAAAGGGAATCAGCATTCCAAGAGTTGAAAACTCGACTTGTAACTGCACCGGTTCTTACCCTACCTTCAAGTACGGACGGTTATACTGTATTTAGTGATGCTTCTCATAAGGGTTTGGAGTGTGTTTTAATGCAGAATGGGAGAGTTATTGCTTATGCTTCCCGACAACTGAGACCGCATGAAAAGAACTACCCGACCCATGATCTGGAAATTACTGCAGTAGTATTTGCACTGAAAATCTGGCGTCACTATCTGTATGGGGCGACATGTGAAGTATATACTGACCACAAGAGTTTGAAATATTTCTTCACACAGAAAGAACTGAACATGAGACAGCGGAGATGGCTAGAACTGATTAAAGACTATGACCTACAGATTTTGTACCATCCAGAAAAAGCCAACACCGTTGCCGATGCACTGAGCCAGAAATCGATTGGAAATGTAGCCTGTTTGCTCACCGGGCAGAAGGAATTGCTTTGTGACCTTGAAAAATCTGAAATTGAAATTGTTTTACGAGAACAAGGTGGAACCTTAGCTGCTATTTCTGCTCAACCGGCATTGATCGAAGAGATTAAAGAGAAACAGCAACTGGATGACTTCTTGAAGAAGATCATCGAAGAAAGGGAAACTAAACCCAGACCGGGTGGAAACTAAACCGAGACCAGGTTTCAAGTTTGAAAACAATGTACTGAAATTTCAAGAAAGACTGTGTGTACCGAATGATACCGAACTGAAAAGAAGAGTTCTGCAGGAAGGCCACAATTCTAAATTTTCTATCCATCCGGGGAATACGAAAATGTACCAAGATCTAAAACTGAATTTCTGGTGGCCAGGAATGAAGAAAGAAATTGCTGACTTTGTATCGAAATGTCTTCATTGCCAACAAGTCAAAGCCAAACATCAACGACCCGCAGGCTTATTGCAGCCCTTATCGATACCGGAGTGAATTCACTTTTTGCGACGGTAGGTTTTACACCGTCGCAAATGTCAAGTAATTTATGCATAAAACGACGCCGTTTAACTTACACTTATTTGCGACGGACAATTGCCGTCGCAATATGTAAAATATTCGCGACAGCAACCGTACGCCGTCTCCAAAAAATTGCTTTTGGCGACGGTAAAAATAACCGTCGCTAATACTGATGCATTTACTTCCTACCGCGCATTTCTTATTATCGACGGGGACAATGCCGTCGCTAAAGCCCTCATTTGCGACGGTTGAGGCTGCCGTCGCAAAAAACCATTTTTTGCGACGGGAAAATTGCCGTCGCTAATGCTTCCGTGTTTTTTACCCCCTTTTATTATTTTTAAGAAAAATTAGTTAAACATCCATCTCTAACTTTGTATAGTAGGAGAGATCCAAGATGTTTTTTTATTCGTTAAGGTCCTTTAATAAAATTTCTTTGTAAAATCAGAGAAATTTCTTTTTGTTGAGGCAAAATTTCTCTAAATTGGGCTGAAATTTATTTGAGTCGGGCACATATTTCTCTGAGTCAAATTTTCTCTATGAAAATGTTGAAGGTCCCTAACTACTATGAAAATATTGTATGTCCTTTATCTTATAAAATTTTAATATCAGGGACCTTAAAAAAAATTTCTCTTATTTTTATTTGGGTTTACAAATACACCCCCATGTGATTTATTTAAAATACAAATTACCCTATATATTTTAAAAATTACATTTTGTCTCTAGATTTTTTTTTAATTTGATAACAAATATTCATTTTTATTAATAAATTATCAAGTCAATTAATAATTTTTAATAATATCATAGATATATTTCAGTATATAATTCAAGTAATTTTATTACTCCTATATAAATATATAATTCAAGTAATTTTATTATATAAAATAATGATTAAGAATTTTATTTTTTAAATTATATGAGTCAATCCATATTTTATACAAATTTCAAAATATATACTAGGTTAGAGCATCCCCACCATGCCCTAAGGCCCCGTTTGTTTTAGGCTATAGGGAGGGTATTGGGACTAGTAATACCAAGGCATTACTAATGCCCTTATCTGTTTGCAGAGATAGCCTTGGGACTATTAGTCCCTTGGTATTACTAATACCCTTGGAAGGAGGATTGGTAAGAAGGAAGTAGAGATAGTATTAGAAAATAGTGAGGGGATTAGAAATTTTTTTATTTTTTATATATTGGGAATTTTTTTTAAATATAATGTTTAATTTTTTATATTTTTTTTTTAAAATTTATAATTAAAAATTATATTTTAATAAAATAAAGAAAAAAATAGGGAGTTTGTTAATAGAATATAGAAAGAATAGGAAGTGTGTTGGGGCAAGTAAATGAAAAAATGATTCTTAAAATAGGAATTAAATTTTTTAATAATATTTTAAGGTAAAATTTAAGTAAACTTGTGGGATACTCTTAAGCCTTGTTTGTTTTGGGAGAAGGCCTTAGGACTATTAGTCCCTTGGTATTACTAATATCCTTGGAGAGGGGATTGGTAAGGAGGAGGTAGAGATGGTATTAGAAAAATAGTGAGGGGATTAGAAATTTTTTTATTTTTTATATATGGGAATTTTTTTTTTAAATATAATTTTTAATTTTTTATATTTTTTTATTTGTTTTATTATTTTATATAAAAATAATTTAACAATTCCTCACTACTAATTCCCTCACTATCAATCCCCTCACTAATAATCCCCTCACTATCAATCCCCTCCATTCTATCTCCCAAAACAAACGGGGCCTTAGGCCCCTTTTGTTTGGGATTATAGGAAGGGGATTGGGACTACTAATACCTTATTATTACTAATACCTTGCTTGTTTTGAGAGATGACCTTGATACTACTAATACATTGGTATTACTAATACCCTTGAAAGGGGGATTCATAGTGAGAAGGTAGAGATGGTATTAATTTTTTTTAAAATATAATTTTTAATTTTTTATATTTTTTTATTTGTTTTATTATTTTATATAAAAATAATTTAACAATTCCTCACTACTAATTCCCTCACTATCAATCCCCTCACTAATAATCCCCTCACTATCAATCCCCTCCATTCTATCTCCCAAAACAAACGGGGCCAGGCCCTTTTTGTTTGGGATTATAGGAAGGGGATTGGGACTACTAATACCTTATGGTCATGTTTGATTCACAAAATTAATAGTGAAGTATTAATAATCCTATTAAATTAGTGTGGTATTCACTATCCAATTGGATTAATATCCATTGGATTAATAATCACATCCCCACCCCATTACTAATAATCCTACAAATTTGTTGGATTAATTATCCATTGGATTAATAATCCTAAACCAAAATGTTAAAACAAACATAGGATAATTGGGCCCACGGATTAATAATCCTAATCCCATGCTCTAATACACCCAATCAAACATGCCATATTATTACTAATACCTTGCTTGTTTTGAGAGATGACCTTGATACTACTAATACATTGGTATTACTAATACCCTTGAAAGGGGGATTCATAGTGAGAAGGTAGAGATGGTATTAGAAAAATAGTGAGTGGATTAGAAATTTTTTTATTTTTTTTATATTAGGAATTTTTTAAAAAATATTAATGTTTAATTTTTATATTTTTTTATTTGTTTTATTATTTTATATAAAAATAATTTAACAAGCCTCTCACTATCAATCCCCTTACTATTAATCCCCTCACTATAAATCTCTTCCATTCTATCTCTGAAAACAAACGGGGCCTTAGTGTATTTTATTTATCCCAATAATAAATAAGGCCAAGTTTGACATACCTAAAATAATTCATCTTTTTATGTTTTTTTAATCACATTATTTCTTTATTTTTTTATCCATATTTTCATAAAAAGATAAAAATTATATGGTCACTCTAAATGATGAGTACAGAAGGATCGGAGAAGAATCTAAGGACATTAATCATTGAGCGGTCTTCCTCTTCGGGCCGCGAAGTGACGAAAGCGCTGAGCCATGAACTCGACGATCAGCCAATAATAAATCGCCACGTAGGACGAACAATAAAGCCACGCAAAAGGGTTCTAAAAAGCGTCTAGGTTCAATGAACCTGAAAAGGCCGCCCTCTTCGGTGCTCCACTATTTAACCTCTCCCCGTCCATTTCTCTTCCCAAAAAAACAGTCCCAACAAAATAAAAATTCACTCTCAAAAAACACAAACACACACATCCAAACCTCTCATCACATAAAGCAATTTCTAGAGAGAGAAACTCTGTAAGCAAAATCTAGAGAGAGAAGGTCTGTAATGGCGTTGGCTGTTACTTCTTCTACTTCTATTGCTGGCTCTATTGCTTCTCGCTTCAATGACCATTCCAAACGTATGTTTATGTTTATCTTTGATTTTATGTTTGAATTGTGAATTTATTGATTTTTTTGGATTTGAATTGTGGCTTGATTTGGTTTTTTTCTTTTTTTTAATGGTTTTGGGGTCGATTTTGCAGTTTCATCACAGGTTGGTTATTTTCAGCCATTGGATCGGAATCATTCTCAATCGGCGGCTTTGAATTATTCTCGGAGGAGGAGTTCGGTGAAGCCGTTGAATGCCGAACCCAAACGGAACGATTTGATTGTCCCTCTCGCTTCAACACTCGTTGCTCCTCCTGGTACGTATGTTCTCCCTATATTCTCTCTCTAAATTATACATATTCTACCCCTAATTTTTTTTTTTTCAATTTGGCCCTTCATTTTTTCTAATTTACTCTAAAAAATTAAAGCTCCATTTGGTTTAATTTTTTAAAAAAGTTTTGAGTTGTACTTTGAAAATACTTTGTTGGGAAGAGTTTTAAAAATTAAAAATTTATTTAGTCATGAGTTTTGAAAATAATTTTTGAATAATTTATAATTTTTGTTTTTTTATTTTTAATGGGATAAATGTGTCGAAGAGAAAATTTAATTGATTGATGGATAAAATGTGAATGAATAAGAAAAGAGGGGAGAGAGAGAAAAAGTGATTGATGAATTTATTAATAAAAATAAAAAGAGACGAGAGAAAAATAATTTTAAAATGAGTTTTGAAAATTAGTAACTCAAACATGTCTTTTTGATTTTTTTTTAAATCTAAATGTTAATTTAAAAACTAAATAAAATGGTACATAAATGTTTAAAATTAGACAAAAAAATAATACATTTACAGTCATGTAGTATAAAAATATTTTATTATACATAAATCGCACTTCTACCCAAATTTTAATATAATAATATGTCTTTTATATCAATGCGGCAAATGTGGCAATTATAGTGACAATTTTTTTATCTAATTTTGAGTACAAGTTAACTTTAGAAGTAAATTGGGCTATAGAATTTAGAAGTAAATTAAAAAAAAAATTGAAATGTAAAGGAGCTAAAGTGAGAAAATAGAAAATAAAGAGGCTGCAAGGTGTAATTTATCCTTATACATATCTATTAGTGGGATGTGTAATGACGGGTTTGGCCCTGATGTGGTTTTGTAATTGCAGAGGTGGCAGAGAAAGTAGAGGTGGAGGAGGACTATGAGCAACTAGCTAAGCACCTTGAAAATGCTTCTCCTCTTGAAATTATGGATAAAGCCCTTGAAACATTCGGGAATGACATTGCAATTGCTTTCAGGTAATTCTTTTTCTCTCTTATCCCATTTTTCAATTTGAGATCCTGAAAAAACAAAAAACAAAAAAGTTTGATGGAGTCGATACAAGTTGAGTTGTCATTGATTTATTAGTTAAAAGGAAATGAAAATTATTGGGAGCAGAACAAAATGCATGAATCAGATGATCCTAAGATGTTACACCAAATTACACCAAGGATCTTCTAGAGTGAAATTTTTCTAAAATTTCCTAGAGTACTACATTGTGTGGTTAAGATTTACTGGCAAGTCACATAATGTAACACTCTAGGAAACTTTAGGGAAAAATTACTCTAGAGGATCCTTGCTCACCAAATTAATTGATATGTAAACTTTATGTTAATTTTCTAAGGAATTAGTAGTAGAATTGAAGTCAATAGGCATTTTGTTACAGCTTTAATTTTATTTGTTTAAGTTTTTAGTTGTGAATCTCCTTAATGAGTTCATATCTTCAAATTTAAGTAAAAATATGGTAGTGTTCCATTTTCAGGAACAGACATTTAAATACTGAATTCGTGTGTATGTTTATGTAGCTTAAACTTCATTTCTATCACCGGTCCTTGTTATTCCAATCCTAGTAGTAGGTGCAAATGCAATGCGTTTGTAATTGTACATCTAAACTTTTAAGTGGTTTAACGAATGAGCATTGAATTAGAAAATGGTTTAGTAGTTACTTTTAATATGGAGCTTTAGCCATTACCAATTTTAGGGGTATTTTGGAAAAGAAAAAAGCATGACAAAGCTTCTGAGTTTTGTGTTTTATATAATGGAATAGATTAGATCAAAAGAGGCCGTGAGGCAGTCTATGCAGATTAAATCAAATTGGACACTTGAGCTCCCAAAAGATTCTTTTCGATTGTTACAGTCGAAGTCTGGACCAAATGCTTTATTTCTGTCCTAGTTGGTCCTCATTCCACATTAGAAGTATATTGATTTTTTCCCAATAAATGATTACTGTTTTGGTTGAATTCTCTCTTCTATTACAGTCTTATATTGCTTGTTACTTCTGAAGCGAGATTTGAATTTTGTAATTTTTTATTGTTAAATGAACAGTTGTCAAAATCTGAATGGTCCTTTGGTCAATTTTTTTTACCATCTTTGTACATAGATGCCATGCATATAAAGAACAATAATATTAGCAACCTTTTGATTCAAAGGTTGAACTGTGTCTGAAAAACTGCTCGTCTTTTTGCAGTGGTGCCGAAGATGTAGCTTTGATTGAGTATGCACACTTAACTGGTCGGCCATTTAGGGTATTCAGCTTGGACACCGGGAGACTCAATCCAGAAACATATAAATTCTTTGACACAGTTGAGAAGCGTTATGGCATTCGCATTGAGTACATGTTTCCTGATGCCATAGAAGTTCAGGCCTTAGTAAGGAGCAAAGGACTGTTCTCTTTCTATGAGGATGGTCACCAAGAGTGCTGTCGTGTGAGGAAAGTGAGACCCTTGCGGAGGGCTCTTAAAGGATTACGTGCCTGGATAACTGGGCAAAGGAAAGATCAATCTCCGGGTACTAGGTCAGAAATTCCTGTAGTCCAGGTTGACCCTGTTTTTGAGGGAATGGATGGTGGGATTGGTAGCTTGGTGAAGTGGAATCCAGTGGCAAATGTAGAGGGACATGACATTTGGAATTTTCTTCGAACCATGAATGTGCCTGTTAATTCATTGCACTCTCAAGGGTACATCTCAATTGGGTGTGAGCCTTGCACGAGGCCGGTCCTACCGGGGCAACATGAGAGAGAAGGAAGATGGTGGTGGGAAGATGCAAAGGCCAAGGAGTGTGGCCTCCACAAAGGAAATATCAAGGACAAAAATGTCAGTGGAAGTGGAAATGGGGCTGTCCACGCCAATGGGACTGCCACAGAAACCGATATATTTGATACCCAGAATGTTGTGAACTTGAACAGGAAAGGGATGGAGAATTTGTTAAAATTGGAGGACCGTAGAGAGCCTTGGCTTGTTGTTCTCTACGCACCTTGGTGCCAATTTTGCCAGGTAAACATTATATTTCTAATCAAAATGGTTTAGTAACTCTGAACATGGGTTTTGGGATTCCACTCTTAACATAGTGTTGTTTGAAATTGTGAGCAGGCCATGGAAGGATCATATGTTGAGTTGGCTGAGAAGCTAGCAGGGAGCGGTGTGAAGGTGGGAAAGTTCAGAGCAGATGGTGAGCAGAAGGCATTTGCACAACAAGAATTGCAGTTAGGGAGTTTCCCGACAATACTCTTCTTCCCCAAACACTCTTCTCGGCCCATAAAGTACCCCTCCGAGAAGAGAGATGTCGATTCGTTGATGGCTTTTGTGAATGCTCTGCGATGATAATAATAATAATCTAGGTCTCATTTATTCATGAATCTACAAAAGTGGATTGGAAATATGAATACACATCAACTGGAGGGAAGGACCAGAGTGCACCTGGAATTTTATTGAAATTCCAATGCTGCTTAGATGCAGCAATGTGGTGGATGTTGATTTTTGGTTTTTTTGTATGTTCATTTGTTAGGTTTCTCTCTTTCTGTCTGCCTGCTCTAGGTTTTTCATTTTTATAGCAATTCTGAGAGATAAAGGGGGTTTGTGATGGTAAATATATGTAGTTATCAATCATGTTCCTGTGAAATTGAGCTTCAGAGGCTTGATTTTGGTGTTTACCAAATTATACCGTACCATTTATTGCATATTGATACAATACCAATCCTTGAGCCAATGTTAAGAGGTGGCTCTGGCTATTTTCCTTGAGACCAAGGCAATTATTAACATTGAAATATCAAAAACAAATTTATTTTTTATTATTTTGCTTATGCATAAATGACAATAAACCCCCTAAACTATCACCCATTTGTATTTTGTCCCCATAACTTTAAACTCAACAATTAACCACTTCAAAATATTACATTGCTGCACTTAATCCCTTTTTACACATGGGATAGTTCTAAATGCACCCCAAAAATTAAGTCGGCATCCCATTACTTGGAACACCCAATTGAAAATTTAAATATTTATTTATTTATTTGGACACCCTAAATAATATTTATTATAACTTTAAAAATAAAAGATACCTAAAAATTTTACTTTCTACACCCCAAATCTAATAGGTTTTTCATCTAGACACTCCATGCTAACAAATTATATATGTTCGAATTCTTAATTTCAAACCGTACAAAGTTTCTTTGGATACTCAATAATGAACAAATTAAATATGTTCGGATAGTCCAAACAATAGAAAATTAGTTATAACATTTTCATCTGAATGCTCAGTGTCGAACAAATTGCATATATGTCTAGATACTTATGTAAAACATATGAAAAATGCATGGCTTTAATTGATATATTCTCTATGAATTACAAGTACATATATATAGACTTTTATGCAAAGATTTATTCTATAGGAAACTATTCTAGGAAATAATCTAATTTAGGTTGTGATTGTGATTGATCCAAAATTGGTGCAATCTCATCTAAATATAGTAGGCAATCTCTGCAATTATTTACAATTACCCTTGATTTACAACTCATACTAACACTCCCCCTTAAGTTGGTGCAAAGATGTCACCAATGCCCGACTTGTCAAGTGAGTTATAGAACATTTTTACTTGAAACGCCTTTAGTTAACATGTCTGCCAGTTGATCTTCTTATTTGACAAACGGAAACTAAACTATCCTAGCCTTGAGCTTTTCCTTGATGAAATGTCGATCCACTTCAACATATTTTGTACGATTATGTTGGACATGGCTGCTTTGTTATCACAAAATAACTCCATTGCTGAAGCATGTGGGAAACCAATTTCTGTAAGTGACTTCCTTAGCCAAAGGAGTTCACAAAGTCCTTATTCATCCCTCTGAACTCAGCTTCTACACTAGAAAGAGCTATTACCTTTTGTTTCTTAGTCCTCAAAGTAACTAGGTTTCCTTCCACAAAAGTGAAATATCCTGACGTAGATCTTCTGTTAGTATTGTCGCCTGCCTAATCTGCATCTGTATAACCACCAATATTTAGATGATTATTCTTAGAGAACATAAGTCCTTTCCTTGGGGCTGACTTCAAGTATCGAAGTATTCGAACAACTGCATTGATATGATCTTTACTAGGACAGTGCATGAATTAACTTACAATGCTCACAGCATACGCGATATCCAGTTGAGTACGCACCAAATAGATTAGTCTCCCAACTATCCTTTGATATCTCTCTTTATTAGCAAGTAGCTGATCAGGATACTTTCCTACGTGATGATTTTGAATAATTAGAGTGTCCTTAGCCTTATAATCAAGCATCCCAGTTTTTGCGACTAAATCCAACGCATACTTCCTTTGGGATAGAAAGGTGTCATGCTCTGACTGAGCCACCTCAATTTCCAAAAATACTTTAACCCACCCAATTTTTTCATTTTGAATTCGGTCGCCAAATGTTCCTGGAGTTTAGAAATCCCCTCAACGTCATCTCCAGTAATTATCATATCATCAACATAAATAATCAAAGCTGTTATCTTTCCTTTGTAGTGTTTCAAGAATAGTGTATGATCTGAATTGCTCTGCTTGAAGCCACAATTTCTTCCAAACTATGCATGAGGAGATTGTTTCAAGCCGTGCAATGCCTTCTCCAGTTTACATATAAGTTATAAAGTCAATATATATATATATAGACCTAGGCAATTTCATGATTGGATGTCGATAAGGCCTTCAATTCGCATGCTGTAGACCGCCTGAACTCGCTCCGCGTGCCCTCCTTTCGGAGAGGGCACGAATTAGGTTCTAACTACTACAGTTCGGACTCATGTCACAGTTTTGTATCTAGTCTCAGAAAGTGCAATGTAAGACTGATAAATCACCAAAGAGTCCAAATCCGGCAAATCGTTTTGGAAAATCGATTTGAATCAAGAAGCGCCAAACATGGACTGCTTTGCCAGATTACAGAGTCGCCACCTAAATATTTTGTTTTTGAAAAATTTAGGAAACCCTGACTCGTGCCTAAGGCCACGTGTCCATCATCACCAAAGTTGCCTCGGCTCGTGAACTTGGGTACGAGAGGGGAAGGTCCTGAAATGAGCACCCCCGCTCCCCCGATCAAAGGATCGGCCTCTACTAAACATGAAATGTTGTTTTTTGAAAACACATGTGTTCTTATTCCGGTTTATTGGCTAACTTACTATGTGATGCGCGCAGCATACAAGTATAGACTCAATCACTCAAGTTGGAACAAAACATCTCATGTTTATTTTTTGAAAAGTGGTTTGAAGTTGCTACCCTTAAGTAGGCTAAAGCGCGGATTTGCCACCAAACAAGGTGGGCTTAAAACATGATGGTTTGCCACTCAAGTGGGCTTAAAACTCACATTTCGATGAATTGTTCTAATTCAAGCAATGAAGCCTTCATCCACAGGCATTCATGCAGTTTATCAACCAAGCAAATAGCCTCATGGCAAGCATGCTATCATGGCAGTCACTTACACACAGGCAAGGATGCTAAAGCGAAAACACTTACAGTGTACTCCGAGCCAAAACAGAAAACTAGTTAGAAATATGCATGATCCTAACTATGTTAAGATGCCTAATGCAACATATGCAAAAATGTAACTAAATAGGCTCGGCTATCTAAGATGGCATATGAATGCAACATTCGATAACATGATTTGAAACACGTATTCAAGTAAGTGTATTGAAATACAATGCACTTTGGATGATGCGCCGAGCCCGGTGCATGCAATACAAATGAATGATATAGCGATCCCGGTTATCCCTTTACTGTTCTGTTGTTTTCCGGACGCGGTTCCGTGGAGTTGGTAGTTGTACCTATCGTGTTGTCGACCTTTAAACTCTTTTGTTTGAGTTTTAGAATGTGTTGGGCTTGGTTGTTTCAGGTTGGTAGAACTTTAGCTCCCATTGTTGTTGCCCAGTTTTTGAATGGTCCGCTCGAGCGGGTCTTCTTGCGCTCGAGCGGGGTTTTCACAGTTTCAATATTTCGTGCCTCTGCAAAACTTCTGCAGATGTGTTTTCTACGCTCAAGCTGGTTTCTTGTGCTTGAGCGGGTCGCGCTTGAGCAGGATTGTTAGCGCTCGAGCGGGTGGTACTTTTTGGTGTAAGTTCTGGGAGGGAGAAATCTACGCTCGAGCGGACTGGTTTTCACGCTCGAGCGGATGTACTTTATTCTTGTGTCTTGGAGCTCGAGCGGGCCTTCTTGCACTCGAGTGTACCTAGCTTTTTGTCCTTGATGCTCAAGCGTTGTGTTCTCCGCTCGAGCGGGAGAGTCGTATATCAGTTGGCAGCTAGGCTATTTTAAATCACTTTTTTACATTTCCTTTCTCTCTCTTACTTGCCCAAAACAGATTTTTGAGAGCTCCTCACTCTAAAACCTAACTTCTCTCTAGGGTTTGATCTAGTAGGAGTGTTTTCCTCACCTTGAGCCTTTGTAAGAAGTGTGTTGATCATTGCGGGCTACATTTTGATCCGAGAAATTTGGTGTTTGGAGCACTTCCGAGTTTAGCTCTTCTTCTCCTTGGGTTCTACATTTGAGGTAGGGATTTCCTTGTTCTTTTTCAATACTTCGTCTATAGATAGACATGTGGTACTTTTGTATTGCATGAAAATCATATCCATGTTGGATTTGTTTGAAATCATGAGAAGGAACCTAGGGTTGGGTGTTTGAAAAATGGTTATGTTATCATTGATGGTTGTTTTGGGCTAATTGGAGTGTAAATTAGCATGTTGTAGTTGATAGAAGAAAAAGCCCTAAATTATATTTTGATTGATAAGTTAAAATGGATGGTAGTTAACCTATGTTGGAAATCTCTATTATTATTGTGAGCTGGGTGAAGGTGTTAATGCCTAAGGGATTAACCATGATTGTGGAATGGGTTTGAAATAAAGATAATGGACTAACATGAGTTATGACTTTATTATCCACGGATTTGGTTTTGCGACAACAAAAGGGACGGAGTTGGTTTTGTGAAAACAAAAGGAAACGGAACTTGTTTTGTAAAATAGGAAAAGTATTTTTGAAATACGAATGAAAATTGGATTGTTGTTTCTTGAGTGTTGAACACACACATGTAAAGGATTGTAGCTTTAACTACCATGTTAATGTTGTTGTTGGGTTTGTGGTCTCATAATAATTGAGTCTTTAATAGATGTACTAAATATTTGCATCTAGAGGTTGTGTCATTGGTCATCGGTGGAGGATGACACGGTTGTGTTGAATTGTCGTGTATGCATTATACCATTATTGATGGAACATCGTATGTGATGAAGTGTTGAGATACATTATATATGTATGCTTGCTCGGGAAGAGGTAGTTATGTGTTCATATACTTTAACACATTTCTTGTATCTTGATGGTTTGTGTATATGTGCTATACATGTTGATTATGCCCTGTTGTGTTGGGTTGGTGGTGTTATACCTTGCGCTAAAAATCAGAGGTACCGTGACCTTCCAGCTTGCGCCTGGAGAACTGACTGAGCTGAGAATCGGAGGCACCATACCCTTCCAGCTAGCGCCTGGTAAACTGGCATGTTGTTGTGAGAGGTGTATCTTTGGCTTACTACACACATAGCTAGTAGAGCAAAGTTTTGTTGTTGATGTTTCAGTGTGTCTGGAAATATCATGGGTTGTGTTGATTACGGTTTTGGAGGCCCGAGTTGCCTCATTGGTTTATCTTATGCATGTTGGTGAGTTGTTATCTCCCTTTTATAACGGTGCA